CGAGGGGCGGTAGTTCCCCGCGCTGGCACCAGGGGATGCTCCGGCTTCACTTTTGCAAATAACGTATTTGGTAAGGATTTGGTAAATCTGCACCAAATAGTAAAATCGTCCCCCGAAGGCGCTTAAGCGTTGCTCATGCGCTGGTGGTTTTACAAATGTATTTTCATGATCTAAAATGGAGGTGTAGCAACAACAGAAACGGGGAAACCAAAACTGTCTCAAATCACAAAAGAATTTGTGGAAACACGCGCTTTGGAAAAAAAGTCTTCTCTTAAAAACCGGTGGAGAGGGCTGAGGCCACCTCAGCGGGCCAAGCGCCTCTGAAGGGACAGAAAATGAGATGCAAAAACCATCTCAGAAAAGTCTTACTTGAATAGTCACATTCCACATCGACTGGCAGATGCTCAAAGCTTTCGGGTACAAATTTCACAGGAGGGTTTTCAGCAGCACCTGTCTGAACACAACTGCCTTTGAGGAAAAAATTCGATAGGCTAAAAAAACCCTACTTTTTCCTGCACTGTGCAAATTTCATATTACTCTCTTACAACTCTCATTTACTCTAATTTACTTTTTCTCATCACCCAGCTAATAAAAGCAAACTGAATGCATTCAATCGCAAACCTTAAAGAGAAATCCAAACCCAGGATATTAGGTCATATCTTCCATCCAAGTAATACATCAGTATCTTGAATTATTTAAATCTTAACTCTGAGGCAAACACATTAATTTAAAAAAAATCACATTTAAAGCATTTATTTTGAAAAATAAAATACAAAAGCTCATTGAATTGTAATTGTACATGTACATTATCAACTTTTTTTTTTAAATAAAAGATATTTAACAATTTCCACATGTGAATAAAACAAACAACTATTCCACCAAAAAAATATTTTAGGACAAGCACAGACCACTCTTTTGGAAGTTTCACACATTTAAAATGTAACTGCTACACGAAAAAAAAAAGTATCTTTGAAGATGGAGTTTTGGAATTAAGACAGAATAGCAATTTTGGAGACAGGCATTGCTTTGCATTTTTTTTTAAACCTTAAAAAAATAGTTGTGCAAGTGTAATGCAGTTCTACATTAACATTAGTGATTTTTTTTTTTTTAAACAGGTTTACATGCACTCACAACAACAAAATTTCGAACAAAAACAGTATGAAAGAAATGGGGGAGAAAATTCTGAATAAAGCCGGCCATGAGCAGTACCCCTCACTGATCTCAGTGGGACAGTCCTTGTACGATCGTTTCCATCGAAAAGGCAGCAGTCTTTCTTCTAAAGGAAAAGAAAAATAAAGTTATGTTTGAGCTTTCAAAGTAATATTCTGGTTTTATCCCTGACAACATTTTGTAATTACAAATAATGCACAATGAAGTAATCACTGTCATCTCAGTAGCTGAAAAGTCACTGTCAAGACTAACCACAGCCACTAAAAACTTTCCTGTAAGGAATGTGGCCACCTTTTCCATCATTTATCACTAGAATCACTGCTTGGAGCATATTTAGATGTAAAAAAAAAATGTGTCTGAATTTGCACTTACATTCGAAATACTTGTGCAAGTGGGCTGCCTTTACCTGCTGAAAGCATCTCTCATTATCATGTACCAGTGGTCGTTACCACTGGGAAATTAACAGTTTGGTTTCTCAGAAACTGGACGGCAGCTTTAGACAGAAATAGTGTCCTTTTAAATACATTTTTCAAAGAGATAAGTGGCAACGTGAAGTATATCTTTCAGCCATTTTAACATTGACTACCTGAAGAGATTATGGTTTCCCTATTGATTTCACAACGAAGCTCTGCAATTAATCTCTGGAAAACTTTTATATCTGTTATTTCTAATTGATATGATGCTTTTGGCTATATTTGGGGCTACACAGCCAGGTATATTATGGCCATATATAAATATCTACGCTGGGTATACTTGTGTGGCATGTTGCTTTTGGTTATATTTAAACTGGATGCATTTTGCTATCTTTTGTTGTCAAGCTAGAACATTTGATAACATAGTTGACAAGTGAAAACCCTCGATTAATATAGTAAATCTTGCATCATTCAGTTGTTGACTAGTCTGGAGTTTACCAAGTTCCCTGCACAATCTTGCCATTGTTAATTCAACAACTAAAATACAGTTTATTGAAAACACCAGCTATGAGACATACCAAAGGCAAACTACACAAATCAGCTCATCTTTAGCTGTTTCCTCTATCTAGAAAGGGCAATTGATTTAAAAAAGGAAGAAAAAGATGATTAAGAGTTATCTTTAAAGTTTTGTTATTTTGGTAAAATGGGAACCTGAATCTGTTGTGCAAGCAGACCATAGTGCTGAAAGACACACAGATAACAACACGAACAAGAAACTCTGCTGAAGAATGCCCGGACAAATGATGGTACAGTTTTACATACTCCTTTCAACTTGAAGCTCTAGAATAGTGCTTACAATCCCATACTGCAAATTGTGATGAGCCACGTGGAACTACATTGTGAGTCTCAAAGCACAGGAACTATGCTTTTGCAACTCTCACTACTAGGACTTACCTCAATGTGAATTTTTGAGATTCTGAATCAAGATCTGTATCTTCATATTTTTCTTACCCAGAGTAGAGTTACGTAAGTTTTTTTTTTAAAAAAATCACCTTAACTAAATCAAGAGGAGCAAATGAGCAGGACTGCATGCTTTTTTATTACCTTCTGTGCAAGAAATATCCATTGTATCTTCTATTCCATAGGTTCTGTCTGTTAAGTAAATAATTAAAATGAAATTAACGATTTTACATTAGAGGAAAAAATATAAATATCAGCACCAATGCCCTCAAAACCAAAACCATCTAGCTATTCAGTTACATTAAGTTAACTTTACCTTTAGTATAATACTAAAGCAGAACATTATCGGAATCAATTTCAACTCCAACGTCAGTGTTTTATGGTTTAAGCAATATTATCTCACTATTTCACAAAGCTGTTTTACTTTACTGTGGATGTTTCTGCTCAGAGTTAGGTAAATACTGAATCATACCAAGCTAACTGTGTAAATCCACCTTCTGAAATTTAGGAGAGTCTCATTTGAAACTTCCCTACGGAATGGACTGAAAGAGGACATTTGCTAGAAATAGTGGACCAAGCTCTTTTGATGTATCACAAAATAATTAAAAAAAACCCAAGGGGCATAATTTATCTAACGGATACTGTAGGCAGATCAAGGATCATTTATTTTCCTATATACACAACGTGCAAAATTTTAAAGATAGCTCATCTCTTTGCATTTTCCAGAAATCCTTATCAGCAACATCTTATCTCCTTCTGTTCTGACACACCCTATGCTTGCAGCCATATATGCTGCAACTTTATCTGCGACGTTGCAGATAATCTTGAAATAACCACAATAATTGCATTTGAAAGCATTAGAAATAACCACAGCGCGCTTTCTCAATACAATTTGCTGACAATAACTTTTAAGCAGCACACATTGAAGTAGTTGTCTTGCCGTTAAGCTGCATAGACATTTTGGCCAGCAGTTGAGTGTGAACAACGCTGTGAGCAACAGCACACGTAGCTGCGTGGTGCCAGGTTCTTAATGGTTTCCTACTAGCTGAGCACAACTTGCGAAGCAATGAGCACTAACTGGTCAAAGGGTGAGAGCAGGCAAACATCCAGTAAAGAGCGAAGCCCACGTTAGAGATCACACAGATTTATCAGAAAGATTTGGTGTCCACAGCAAGAAGTTATATTCTGAAAACATGAAACAGACACTACAGCTAAATTCGACTTTACTGATCCATGTTCATTTTATCTTGCCGCGAGACTTCCTTTCTACTGTCTTCTTTGGCTGGAACAAAAGAAACCAATTTTCTTTTTTAATCAATTAAATTTTCATTTGAATTAACGGAATATGTCAAAATGCTTTGTTTGCATGTGGTACATTCTGCTGTGTATTCTTTGATCTCTACATTTAACAAAAATCATAATCAAAGAGTCTTTTCTTAATACTGGGGATCCAAAGACAAGAAAGCTTGTGCCCAGTAGGTTTTTCTTCTTTTAAAAGTAAAGACACTGTAAATTATTTTACTTTTGACAGGCTACTTACACTTACATTCTAAATAAACTTCTGTACCATATGTATCATTAAGGATAGGAAGTCGAGTAGAAATACAAAGTAATGCAAGCATTGTGAATAACTTGTCTACTTCTAGCCATTTTACAGGCTTTTGAGAAACCAGGATAGAAGCATAGAATCTTTTCCTCTTTTGCTTCGAGTATTGGCATGTTTGGCTACAGTTACACTGCAAGTTACCTTTTCAACCTACTGCTCTGCTTACTAACTCTAGTGTTTTTAAAGAGCATTACCCTGCAAAGAGAACATCACGTGGTCAAAGTGAACCCTGGTCAGTAAGGAGACATCCACCTCCCACCCGAAAGAACGAGCTGCTGGACAGAACAAAATATAAACAAAGAATGGTGGTGGTCTCCAGGCCTTGGAAAAGATGAGAAAGGCCTTGCAGGAGGCTGAAGGAAGCTCTATGATTGGGATTTTTTTTTAAAGCATAAATAGCAGCAACAACAACAAAAGTAATGGGTAACTCTGAAGCCGGGCAACCCACAGCTCCTGTTGTGACTAATAAGAGACAAGGGTGGCTCTTGCTCTTGCAGTTGCCGAGATTCTGCCTCCAGAATTTTGTGAGTCCCTAAAGAAATGATTTCTCTCCCAATTCTGCAATGCTGTACTCCTGTACAAGCAGGAGGAATTGAAGAAAAAAAATAATTCTACTTAGCTTTACTTGAACACAGCTCGAGACAGTAACAGTCACAAGCCACTTCCTGTTTTTCTATCAAAGCACAATGCACTTTAGATGGCATTTAGGCATTTACCTTCAATTATAAACCCTCCAAAAACTGCTATTTTTAAGAGCCCAGTTGAGCAGCTCTTAGCCAAGAAAACATAAAACCAAATGCTATGTGTTATATTTATTTCATATGAAATATTTCATTTAAACAATAAAATACACATTTTTGTTATTTCTCTGATGAAGGTGAATTAAATTATTTGCTCCTTGTCTAGATCATCTGCCTTGATTCTTCATGGCTAGACTAGCAGAGCCATGTACAGTGGTTTTAAGCTTAAATCAGAAAGTCTATAGGAGGGAGAATTAATTTCACTACACATTTGGGAGAGAAAAGGAGAATAAAAACCAACAAAACCCACACAGGCACACAGAAGCCCTTCAAGCTGCTGAAACGGAGCACTCCAACAGGCCGCTCCATGGAACAAATCCATCCTGTCTGCTCTGTTACCTTCAGGAGAGACAGAAGAGCTGCCCAGCAGCAAGGGATGCCATATTCCAAACTAAAGTCCTATGTCTGTAAATGGGCCAGTGGTTACAGCCCAAACCCTTTCCATCACATCTACACGAGCAAAGGGCATGAGGCTGGAAGTGTGGTTCCTACGTACTCACTTAGCTGGGGGAAAGTATCAAGTGATCCTGCAGTTTAAGAGACCTCCATAACGATGGTTTTGCTTTTCCAACTGCCATTGCAAAGTTTAAGTCCCTTAGGTAGCTGATGACAATTAACACCATTTGAAGGATGCTCTTGCTCCCTCCTGCTCACTTGATTATTAAATCAATACACCATATCCATGGCTGAACTGTTTGTTCGTTTTGCCCAACGCAGTAGTATTTATTTTTCAAATCTCTCATTATTTATCTCTGCTCCCTGTACTATACTTGCTCTAAACCTTTCCATGCAAGGCAACAAAAGATAAAGTTTCTCTACAAGTAACAAACTTTGCAGTTTGGTCTACACAAAAGTCAAGCTTTCCTCGAATTTCACAGCAATGCTCAGCTCGGTTTACGGGCACCATACTATTAGCACTGGAGTTACATGTGCACTTGAGAGGGACTTGGGACTGCTGAGTGCAAGAGCGCTGGAGATTCAGTCTCACCGACAAGCTATTCTCTTATAATCTCTAGTAACCTATTCTCTTACGATCAAAGGGAAAAATCAAATTTATGAAGCCATAGTTTATAAAGACTGGTTGCATACTAACTTGCTGCTACACCCACAAAAAGGAAACTAATCCAATACTGTACCTGTGGCACTTCTTTAAGAAAGTCAGGAAGCTGAAATTCACCTTTATACACCTGGAAAAACAAAACAAAACAAAAATATACTACTCAAAGCTAGCATTCACTGTTTGAAATGCTGAAGAGCTTGTTAAGAAGGGATTGGAGGGGGTGTGTGTGATTCTTCTGGGTTATTAGAATCCAGTAATGCTAAAACAGATCCACCTAAACTGAACACGACTTATTTGTAAAAGCAAGCTTTATTCCTGAGGCTTAGTGTCTGAAGTAGTTCTACAGCTGCTACAGTACACACAGTCCCAGGCTTGCTCTGTACTCCACACTGACCTCGTTTGTACTGAAACGCTAACACTGTGTAACTCAAACTACATTTGCAGCTTGCTCGAATTATTAAGTCCTGTGCGATCAATTCACTACGCTTTCAGAATAAGATTTTGAACAGGGTGATTACATACACCAGGAGTGAGTTGCTACAATACATACTTCTTCGAAGTTTATATACAAACGAATCTGTTGTTTCACATTTTTGCACCGTCAATAAATTAAGTTCCCTTTGGGCTTAATTACAATTCACAATTAAAAGAGTCTCCATTTAACGTCTTCTGAAAGGGCTACCTGTCATGATCTCCTGGATTGTATCAGAACCACTATACCAGGCAACAAACAACATTCAGTGTTCAACTATTTTATGTATTAGTTTGTGGCCGTATACTCAATACTCAACAAATGTCATACAATACAAGATTTTCTGATAGATCATAGTATTTGTCTTGAATAAAATATTTATCATTCATGCAAACAGCAGTATCACACCCGAACAACTGATCCCACCTTACTATGCTGTGAAAGGAAAGTTCTGTTAATTTTCATGTAGCTTATGGAGACAATGCAACTACAATCAAAGTCTGAAAACACTAATAACTTTAGCTTTCCATTCTGCTAACGTGGTCAACGCTTGAAGAGCATCAGCATCTCCTTCTACCGTGTTTTACACATATCTATCCCTTTATTCTACATATCTAGCTGGTGTAATTTTCAAGTATCAGGAAAGTTTATGTATTTGCTTTAATCCTTAAAGATACGCAGATACCATTATAACAGGTACAGATATATTACGAGCGATTTTCACTCTATGTCAGACCTTGAGTCACTTGGCAAACACAGTCCCTGACATCAGACATCTAATTCCTTCCTCCACAGGCTGTAACCACACAGCTGAAATCCCCAGCTCCTGGGAGCAGAACACAGGGTTGGATAAGGCCTAAGTTTTCCTTTATTATTTTCATGTCATTTAGTCATTAATTTGCTTTATCAACAGAAATGTAAAAAAAAAAGAGTAAATTAAAATCAGTAGGCTAATCCTTTCCTATACTAATAAAACACATAGATTTAATAGCTTCACATACAAGTAAAGAAGAGCTCCACTTACTAGTAGGGCTGTCACAAAGTTTTAGCCAGCAACTCTTACGATTATGAATTCCTACAACAACTGTAGCCTCATTACCAGCCTGAGTTCATGAGAATTTGTCATTAGCACAATTTCCAATCTTTTAGAGCATAATATTACTTCTGAAACAACACTGTTTGGAGAAAGCACGCAGTAAGTATCCTCAAGCATAGCCACAGCCACACCAAACAAGTGTTTCCACTACTTGACCAATTAGGAAATAAATTTGCAACATACGGTCTTCTCTCCAGAGGATACTTCTTACAAGTTGTTTGTTTCTGAGATTGAACTGGAAAACATTCCAAAGTGGGGAGGAAGGTATTCTGGTTTTGGGGTTTTTTTTGGTTGGTTTGTTGTATGTTTGTTTTTTTCCCCAAAAAAGAAGTATACTTGAAAGGAAGAGTTTTACCATCCTTTCTACTGAACCAAAAAGACCAAACAACCATCCTTTCTACTGAACCAAAAAGACCAAACACCCTAACGTAATGAGTTCTTTGTAGTCTTGCGTAGCTGTAATCATATAAAAATCAAAAGCCACAAACCTACTTAGAGAAATTCTATAAAGCCAAATTCTATTCTATTCTGTGTCAAAGGAAGAAGATTCAGGAAGTCAAGGGATGCTTATTAACGACATCCATTTTCTCCGCTTTCCTATGAACAGATGACCAGAAGATACAGACGTACTCATTTTGTCAATACGCTGCAGCGGCCCAGGACTGAGTCAGCTCAGAATTTCCCATCCATAAGACACCTCAGCCCACAACAGGCCTGCAGCATTAAACCGTGTGACTCGTGGAGAGGACTTCGGAGCCGGCAATACTCACTGCTCTTTACCACCAGGCTAAACATGCCCAAACAACAAGGCTTCATTAAGTCTCAACATGAGAGTAGGAATTATTATACACTTACGTTGCAGAACTCTGTTCCTTACGATATCCCATGTTTTAGATAAAATAAAAAGGCTGATTCAAAATGATAGGCACAGCTCTCATTTATATTCAGCTAGAGGGTATTGTCATTCCCATGGAAACCTTAATGAAAGCCACACTGGTCAAAAATTCAGTGTGTGGCTTACTGAAGCCTAGATAGACTATAAATATTTATAAATGAAGGAGAGTATTTCATGTTTTCAGCCTTTAACCAAGCCATTAAAATGCAGACTGTGTTCTAGAGACCAGAAATGGAAGTTACAAATCAGCAATATTACCACATTAGAAAATGCTACAGAACAATCTAAGCAAGATTCACAAGAAAAAAACATTTTCTTTTACTAGACTAGTGCTGGTGTTGGAAGAAACAGGCAGGCTTCTTCACCTTTTCTGGCAAACCTCTGCAGTCATTATCTGGGAATCCTTAAAATCAGTTAATACTGATAACGGTGGTACGTTGTGACCGATTCAGAACCAGAGTGGCCAAAATCATATTTGTCCCTCTGGAGGCTTGCTTCTGTCCTTCTCCTGCAATCATGACTTGGTCTAATTTTTATATTATATATATGTCTGCTCTAAAAACCTTACTATTGTAATGCCCTTTGTAGGAACAGCATTTACTCCTAATAAACATCAATAGTGGCTAGTCGAGGGTATTCATCCATCAGCAATATTAAGAAAAATGACGACACTAATGTCATAGTCTGGAAATATAAGAAAATGTTTCAGGGGCATTGGATACTATATGCACACTAAATATCACAATTTACACACCACAATTTACAGAGGCAAATCTAAGCCAAGGCAGGCCCAAGAAGATCATCTTTAACATACAAGTGTGCCTAATTTTGGTTCAGAACTGACATTACCTAGAATGCCGGTTTTGTCAAGATTGAGACTGCACAGAATCTGGTTTAAAGTAGTTCCAAAACCAGTAAGTCGTTTGAATCAAAACCCAGGGATCAACTGCAATCCAGAAATCCTAAAAACAATGACTCCATGTGCAGCCAAAGAAATTTAAGAGGTTTCAGATTCCAAATTCTTTTCTGACCAATTTCTAAGTCTAAAACACGTAATTCAGAGAGTGGCAGCAGAGAGGCAGAAGCAGGACACCGGAATGATTTCCAGTCTAAGCAAGAAGTCACTAAAACTGAGCAGAAATGGCGTTTACCATTTCTAAGGGAATTGTTTTGCAAGTCCAAATGGATTGGGGGAGGAGGGGGGCAGGCAAGGAATCTGAAGTCTGTGTCAGTTCGTTGTTCACTGTTGGCCAGTATTCAGGCTGTTCTATTAAAAAAAAAAAAACACCACCAAAACCAAGACAAAACATATTTTTATGGCCAAACTAAATGCAGATTATTCTCAAAAAGAGATCAGAAAACAAGTTTTGCATCCAGCTGTCTGAGAAAACCCTTATAAATACACAAGGAAATGTTCAGGTGGAACTCAAGTGTAAGCTATAATTCATCCTTACAGCAGATGAAAGCACTCCTTTTCATCCACCTTCAAGCCCGCTTTAGAAAGAGTCACACTATATATTGGGTCAGTTCTGGCACACGCACATAATGGGTCTTTTTGTCTTCAAGTTAACCTGCAAGTCCATGCACTTGGGCTTGCTGGATTTCCAACACATCAAAGCTGCAAAGTACAAAGCCATCGATGTTTAACCGGAGAAAAGACAAAAGGGAACACTGGCAAAACCAGAACAGAGCCCCTTTCTAGAAACAATCCTTTACAGCACAGTACATGGAGGTTCCCTCATCCTGCTACTTCAGACTTTCCTGAACTTTTCAGGCAGCTTACAAGGCTTACACAACTCTTCGTTTCTTTGTCAGAACTGCCAAGCAAGGGGACATCTGAGATGTAAATATTTACCCAGTAGGAACAACAAAGAGAAAGATTTTAGACAGGCCTACGAATGTCTGCCAAAAGGCAGCTTGCAACCGTACCTAATTTTGTATTTTGTTTGTTCATAACTCTGTATGCCTTACTAATCATATATATGCAAAATTCACCAAAAAACAACCACAAACAAACAAGATATCAGCATCTCTGGAGAAAAATGATGCAGATGAGAATCCACATGCTGGAAGAAACACACACTAAAGAGGATATTAAACAAATTGAAAGGATACCTAGGAAGTCTCTGCTGTTGGTCACACGACAGATGAAATAAACCCCCTAATTTTTGTTTTAATTATCAGAGAAAGCACCCACAAAACCAAATGCCTTTAGGCTTAACTTATGTTAACCAGCATAAATAAGAGGTGCAGTGTCTTTTTTTCTGAGCTCCTTGAGCAGCCTGTCATTACAGCATACCTCCACAGCTACACATCTTTGACAGCACAAGGAATTATTCTCATGCATTAGTCTAAAAACACTTCACATCCGTTATCATAGATTGTTTCTCTCTTTAAGACCTCAAATACAAAGTCTTGAAATCAGGATTGTCATGGACGTCTCTACTCTTAACAGCAGGAGATATTTCCTCAATTTAAAACAGGCATGAAGCAGGAGTTAACAGAACTCTGTTTTCTCCTCTAAATGTTACTGCAGAAAATATCACGAACAGAACATAAACCAGAGACAGAGAACAGCTTTCGGATGTGATTAGAACCCACCCACACGTATTTAAACAGTCCTGATGAAAACTATCGCTTTTCCTACAAGGTTCTGTATGCTTC